TGTTGCGAAAACTAATAAACATTTCAAGTTGACTTTCGGCTCATTTTTTTAAGCATAAAAAGCACTATATTTTACTACAATTTCAAAGCCCTACGTTCATAGCTTTATTAATAATAAACGAGTGAAAAACAGACCTATTTTGATGGATTTAATTTTTTTACAAGTTAACGTGTGGAGCGATCTTAACGTTTTTGGTCTCATTTTGTAGGTATTCGTAATATCTACATTTTTTGTACGAAACTTTTTTCCGTAGAACTAATAGGTTCCTTTTCACGCGCGAAAAACCTGTTTTTCGAAGCTTCGTGAATTTTTTAAAAATATTTCCCCAACTTTTTACGAGTCTCAAACACATACATTTCATTTCTAATGACCTTCCGATACCATTTCATGCAAACAAATGCCTGTTTACAATTTAAAAAAAAAGTCTAATTCTCCTGCACTAGTTCGGCTCTCGCTACTTGCCCCTCACCCCTCGACCATTACATGTGGTTGAGCGTTATCATGAAGCAATATGCATATAATTGCAGGTTGCTTAAAGTGTAATTGCTGATGCATTTCCTCCATCTGAGAACAGTATTTTCCGGCATTAATGATTTTACCAGTACCGGGATTCTGTAACTTGCTATCGATGTTTTTCGGCATCGAAATTAACTAGCGACAGCAAAGACGTTGAAAGCACAGCTTTCATATAGGTTGGTTAACGATACCGAAAACCATCGATAGCAAGTCACAGAATCGCCTTACAGGTTTCAAGAACGAATAATTAATAATGCCAGCTCAACAGACGTGGAGTTATTACTGTTTCATGATAACGTTCGACCATATGTTTCAAGAACAACAGTTTAGAAATCTAGAAATTATACGAGAGTTGCAGTATGAAACTTTTATTTGCTCGTTTACAAGTTACTAATTATTTAATATTGCTATTTAACATAAGGTCTTATGAGAACTGAGACAAATAATAAATCATTCAAAAACTATTAAAAACCAAAGCTAAAAATGATATTTTTTGTATCATGTTTTTCAAACATGTAAAAGTTATCTGCGCGGTTTTAAAACGATTTGCTTGCTCGTTTTGCAATTATTATTTAGAAAGCGCTATGATCATCAATTGACGCGATATCGACGACGGAACGTGATAACGCCGCATCCCGACTTAATCTTTCAAGCTAAAAAATTTTTACATTTTCATTAAACTCAAATTCTATTCACAATAAACAATACTTTAAAATATGATTTTATTATAATAATTTCTTATAATTATGTATCAATCAAAATGCTCTGTTCAATTTTAATTTTGTAAGAACATCAGAAAATTAAAATTGAACAGAGCATTCTGATCTATCACGAGACACGGTAGTGTCTCGCGCCAAGTGTAAGCGTAGCTAGTACACGCGTGCGAGATACATAATTACAAGAAATTAATAAAATCATATTTTAAAGTATTGTTTATTGTGAATAGAATTTGAGTTTAATGAAAATGTAAAAATTTTTTTGCTTGAAAGATTAAGTCTGGATGCGGCGTCATTACGTTCCGTCGTCGATATCGCGTCAATTGATGATCATTGCGCTTTCTTAATAATAGTTGCAAAACGAGCAAGCAAATTGTTTTAAAACTTCGCAGATAACTTTTACATGTTTGAAAAACATGATACAAAAAATATAATTTTTAGCATTGGTTTTTAATAGTTTTTGAATGATTTATTATTTATCTCAGTTTCCGTAAGACCCTATGTTAAATAGTAATATTAAATAATTAGTAACTTGTAAACGAGCAAATAAAAAGAGTTTCATGCTGCAACTCTCGTATAATTTCTAGATTTCTAAACTGTTGTTCTTGAAACATATGGTCGAACGTTATCATGAATAGTAATAACTCCACGTCTGTTGAGCTGGCATTATTAATTATTCGTTCTTGAAACCTGTACGGCGATTCTGTGACTTGCTATCGATGGATTTCGGCATCGTTAACCAACCTATGAAAGCTGTGTTTTTAACGTCTTTGCTGTCGCTAGTTAATTTCGATACCGAAAAACATCGATATAGCAAGTTACAGAATCCCGGTACTGGTAAAATTATTAATGCCGGAAAATACTGTTCTCAGATGGAGGAAATGCATCAGCAATTACGCTTTAAGCAACCTGCAATTATAATCATATTGCTTCATGATAACCACATGTAAAGGATGAGGGGTGAGGGGCAAGTAGCGAGAGCCGAGCGTCGAGCAGCGAACGACGCGTGGTGAAAGGTGATCGGTGAGGGGTGAGCGGGGAGTGTATACTCGCCGCTCGTTGCGTGACAACTTTTTTTCGGCGCGCCGCTCCACCTCTTGCTATTGGATGATGCCCCACCGTTGCCTGCCGCCTTCTACGCTCTCATTCGCGCTCTGACATTAAAATTCAAAAATCAACGTAACGCCAAGCCACGCCAAACGGCTCCCCCCTTCGCGAACGTCGTTGCAGCGACGGCTGACGAGAGCGTTTCGTTACTTGTCCCACGTCGATCGCGCGATCGGTTTCGCGACCTGAGAGTTACTTCCCGCGAGTTGTACGTGCGTCGAGTACGGAATACGGAAACGAACCGCCGAGAGCCGAAGGGAAGTTTGCGAAGCAGCGGCGAGACTGCGATGTCGCGGTGTGAGGACAACGTAAGTGACGTGTGCTCCTCCAATCTCTGAAATCTCTCGCCGCGAAAGCTATGGCACTGTGAGGTCTCGCGGCGATCTCTGCAGCGCTAACAAAGGATGGTTTTGAACAAAAAGGACCTGGGTAAGGCGTTCTCGCCCAGCAAAGTGAGGAAGGCGGGCGTGAAACGGCTGTCGCCCGGCTCGGCGAAGCCGAGCACGAGCGGCTCTACGATGAAAGCCGAGGACACTTCCGAGATCTCGATCAAGGTAATCGTGAGAGTGCGTCCGCCTAACAAGCGCGAGTTACAGGAAAACTGCCGAACGGTCATCGAGGTCGTGGACGACAAGATGCTCATCTTCGACCCGAAGGAGCACGAGACGCCCTTCTTCTTCCGCAACGTGCCGCAGAAGGGCAGGGACATGTTGAAGAGGCAGAACAAGCAGCTGCCGTTTATCTTCGACCGGGTGTTCGACCTGGCGTCCAGCAACGCCGACGTATTCGAGGGAAGCACCAAGAGTGTGATCAGCAGCCTCCTCGACGGCTACAACTGCTCTGTGTTCGCGTACGGTGCCACCGGCGCCGGCAAAACTCACACGATGCTGGGCAGCAGGGAGGACCTCGGCATCACGTACCGCACCATGGCGCAGCTGTTCGCCGAGATAGAGAACCAGAGCCACCACTGGGAGTTCAATCTGGGCGTGTCCTACCTGGAAATATACAACGAGAACGTGCAGAACTTGCTGCACAAGACCGGCCAGCTGCATCTGAGGGAGGACAGTAGGTGCGGAGTGGTGGTCGCCGGTTTAGAGCCGATCGTCATCCAGAACGCCGAGGAGTTGCTCTCGCTGCTGGCGAAGGGTAATAAGAATCGTGCTCAACATCCAACGAACGCCAATAAGGAGAGCAGCAGGAGCCATGCTGTTTTCCAGGTGTACATCATGATGACTAACAAGCTGTACGGTCAGGTGCAGCGGGTCAAGCTGTCCATGATCGACCTGGCGGGATCCGAGAGGGCCTCGGCTACCGGATGCAAGGGCGCGAGGTTTAAGGAGGGCGCAAACATCAACAAGTCCCTGCTGGCTCTCGGGAATTGCATTAACAATCTCGCGGACGGCATAAAGCACATCCCGTACCGTGATTCCAAGCTCACGAGGCTACTCAAGGACTCGCTCGGCGGTAACTGCCGCACCGTCATGATAGCCAACATCGCTCCTAGCAGCTTCACCTACGAGGACACGTACAACACCCTGAGGTATGCGAATCGCGCGAAGAAGATCAAGTCGATCGCCAAGAAGAATGTGTCTTGCGAGACGCACGTTGCCGGTTACATCAAGATAGTGGAGGAGCAGAAGAAGGAGATAGACGCATTGAAGTCGAGACTGGCGGCCTTCGAGAATGGAGCGCTCCAGCCGGCCGTGTGCAAGCCGAGCCGAGCCATGCTGGAGACGTACAACAAGCTGGTAGAGTTGTACGAGAAGAAGCGGGATCTGGTGGAGAGGGTTCTGACCTTGGAGAGCTCCGACAAGATCTTGGCGTGCAGGATACTCTTCAAGAAGAACGCGGACGAGAGATTGCACAATCTAACGGCGGCCAACGACGCCCTGTCGCTGGAGGAGCAGAATGCCAGCGGGAAGTCGCGGGTCAACAAGTCCCTGCATTACTTCCAACGGCAGAGGGAGGCCCTTCGGGCGCAGATGCAAGAGACGTGGCAGGCATTGTGCTCGGTCGAGACAGAGATACAGGAGGCGAGCGGCAGGCCCCTCGACGAGAGCCTGCAGAGCAAGCTGTCCCTGCAAATCTCCAAACTGGAGGGATGCTGGATCCCCAGTATGCAGCTGCACATGAGTAAACTCGACGGTCTTCTGCGGTGCGAGATGCAGTCGGTTAACACCATAACGAAGACCATGAGCAACACCTTGCAGAATTACTACAACATGCTCAAGGGCCACGGCTTGATGACCGAGAAGATGCAGCTCGAGTTCAAGGAGTTGATCAAACTGCTCGAAGGTTTTCGAAATATCAAGTGGTCCGACTCGGAGGAGACGAGCAGGCAGGACTTCAACATGTTCACGTGTCTGAGCACGATTGGGATGGACCTGTTGAACAATTCGATGCCAGCGATCGGCACGGCGATACCCGGGATGGACGACGAGGAAGCCTACAACGAGAACGTCTTGAGCTTCACCTACAGCATGGCTAAAAGTAGCTGTGCCGACAACGCGAGCAGCAGCCACGAGACTAAGTCCTTGCTGAGGGACGAATCTGCGCAAGGGACTTCGCGGGAGGGAACTGCTGCGAAAAAACTCATCAGGAAGCGCGTGTTATCCGATAAGAGCAGCGAAGGCGGCAGTACACCCGCCAAGCAGACGAAGAAACTGGGGACGAGTAATAAAGCTACTGCACAGAATAACACTCGGGTGGACAAGGAGAACAAACAGAGGCCTCTACAAATGAGTGCAAAAAGTATCGCCATTCTGAATAAACTGAAGAGCGACGCGTCCAATTCCTCACTTCCCCGGCACAATTCCGAGGAGAAAGTAAACGCGGCGTTTAAGGCGATGCACAACAAGGAGAGACGCGGTCTAATAACAACCCATCCGAATCATAAGCCAACCGTTGGGAAGAAGTAGGTATTATTTGTGTACAAACAATATTTGGTGCGGCCTAACAGTCAATTCGGTTGCTTGCGCACTGAGCGCACACCAACGTTTCTTTACACCCAATTTTTAACTTTGTCTTAAATACCTCTTTAGAGTATTTAATATACCCCTCTGTAACTGTAACTTAACTGATCATTTAATAGTGATTTCATATATTTTTTTAAACCTCCACAGATCGCACCAGGCCTTGCATTTCCGCGTAAACCTTTATATCGACACTTAACAATTCAAATGCAGATTTGATATTTTTCTTTTCATTGCGAGAGAGTAACGATGCCTTGAGGAGGATGGTTGCTGAAATGAAGATGCTAAAAATAAATTCAAGTTTATAGAAAATATTCGTCTACGGGAATCTGTCCTCCATGCAAAAGTTTAAGACAATTGTCTGGATGGTTGTCGAATAATTAATTATTGAAGTTATATACTATTGCGCATGGCCAACATAGCAAAGTATTACGATATCTGTAATTTAATTCTCGAAAGCATGTTAGAAATGTTAAGAATTTTATAAAAATATTTTTATAAAATTCCTATCATTTTTCACACATATATAATATATATATTTATATATTGTATATGTATATTTATATATATTATCATTTTAATGTATATATTTTTCTATAAATTTGAATTCATTTTTATTTGAGCAGCCAACCTCCTTAACATGTACTCCCTAGTGCGAGCAATCGAATTCGCTATAAATCCTGCCCGGCTTTATGAGATGTCGTTTCTATTTTCTATGCAGATCCGTACCAGCTCCACCGTCTACGAGAGTTCCATGGTAGGATTAGACAAAAATTTGGCACCTGGACACAAGATGGAGAAGATTGTGGCCTTACAGACATCGCGCTATACTTAACAGATACGAGATTTTAAATATTATGCTATTGACTATGCTAAGTATAGCGCGATGTCTATAATGATTGTTCCAACGCTGGCGAACGGGAAAACGCGTGGGTGCTAACGCTATCATGGGTAGTACCGATTGATTGATTTGCCGCCTCTCCGGAAAACGGTATCGAATCATTCTCCACCTGTGAGAGAAAGGACGACAAATGGAGGTAGCGGTTTTATGCAGTATTACCAAGAAGTAAAAAATTTTCAAGAGACACTTGGCTTAGGTAAAACAGAGTATGGTACTAGTCATATCATCTCAGAATAACATTATATGTATATTTTTAAAATATGTAGAGGTTTAGCTGTACAGTGTTGACATTACGAATATCCTGTTCAAGTAGTATACCATACAGTTTGCGTTTTTAAAAATGCTTCATTAACGACTTCGCGATTTTCGAATTTTTTTGTTCAGATTTTAGGACAAGTAAATGTTTTGAAACGTAATTAATTTTGGACCTTTGAATATGTAGATTTGAACATCTTAAAGTCTTTGACGAATAATGAAATTTAATTACCGGTTTTTCGTTCTATTGAAAATCCTCGGAAATTTAAACCCGCTTATTCACACGTTGCACTTGATACGCTTGCGTTTTTCAAGTCGTTGGATCCTCGCAATATAAAATTGTTCGATCCTACTTTACTGCATTTTTAATTTTTGATAAACGCGTTCTGTATTTTGCGACTAAGTGGCAATCGTCGACGATCGGTCTGCATGGGATTTCTATTTCCGTTCGGCTGCACGATTTGCATCGCCCTAATTAATGATTAAGCAATTGTTTAGAAAAAAAAATGGAAATTTCGTCAGCTCGACCGGAAATAATTGAAATTGGGCATTTATACGGACTCTGTAATAGACTGCCGGTTTTTTTATATATATTTTTAACTCATTATACCCGTTTTCGTGCTAGACTTTGATTGATGTTGTCTTTCTCCTATTGATCTTGGTGATGCAATCTCGAAGTGTCACTTGTGTACTGCGAGAAACATGAATAATGAGACGTTATTAATAGCAAGAAGGATGTATGCATGTAAAGTAGGTTTTAGCGTTGTAAGACACATGAGAGGCTTTTATCGAACGTTAAGCGAAGTATAAGCAATTTCTGCGGTAATAATGCTCGGCTTGAAGCCGGCCAGACGTTGCTTTTATTTGCGACATATTGTTATTGTGTAAGTTATATAGATATATTGTAGATATATAAATATGTAAACCTGCGTGCCTTGTATGCCGTAAAACGCGTTCATTATTTATTTACCAATGGATTATAATAAGCTTTTTATATATCGCAAGTTGCATGTCGTTTTCCCTTATTACTATAAGACTTAAAATAAGATTTTTTTGTAACAGATACGAGATTTTAAATATTATGCTATTGACTGCACGCGCTGAAGGAGGCAAAGTCAAGTATTCTAATAAAATGACTTTTTTCAATGTTATCTATGTACGTTCTTTGTAGCTTAATTCAAGAAAAGATATATATTATGTACATGTACGATATGCTCTTTATATAATATTCATCCGACATGACAAGCCATATTTTCATGTAATGTAATTAAGTTAATTTAAGATGATAATACGACGATAAGAATTGTTCTCTTCCAGAAATTTGCACTTGAAAAGGACCGAAACCCATGGTCGAAACGTCGCGCATTGTACAATTATATAATTAGCAGTTATTAAACATTTGCCGGTTAAAGGCGCTCAAACTTTACATTGTTGTTTATTACTGGCAACCCTAAAGAGATTATCAGATTTTAGTCTTGCAATTACTTTTATTCACATTTGTCTCTTTCTAAGGTAACAGTTGGAAGGAGACAAAGAACGAGTTAAGCTAAGCTTAAAGTTAATACCTATTTATTACTATGGATTATTTGAAAAAAAGAAAAGAAGTACTGGTAATAAGCCGGCGACGTCGAGCCGAATTCTCCGTAGTAGCTGCGCTGAGTATATTCGGAGAATTCGGGTATGGTAGAAACGACACGCCCCTCGGCTCCGTCTTGTACGTATCCGATAAGTAACACGGGCGGATTACTGCAAGACGGTGCTTCGCCTACGGTCCTTTCCAATTTCGCATCTCGCATCGAATGATGTCGAACGCACCAAGGAGCAACGTGATCCTCAACATTTTATAATCCGAGCGGCTACTTGAGCTTCTTATATCGTGCAGTACACGCGGGAGACGGTCCTCAGCGCATTTTAACAACTACGTGCGAAAAGTTAACGCCACGCGATACCTCGTCATCGAAATCTTTACATCGCCGAGTGACGGTCTCGACGTGCTCGACGAATATATATAAATACCGAGCGTTTCCGGTTGACTCTTCGTACGCTCCGATTGTTGGCGTTTACATTCAAATTGACGTAAATTCGAATACCATTACGATTCCGTCGCATCGGCGTGTTAGTCACGACGGGTAACGAGCGTGAAATTGCAACACGGCGAATTGAACTCGTCAAGTAGGACGCCGCTTATGGAAACCACGGGGAAATGGATTCGGTTCTTCGTGATACAATACAATGTTTTACAACGCTCAACCTTTATTATCGCTTTTAAGAAAGAACTTGACAAGTTTTTAACGACTTCCTTGTACTTGTTGACCAAGTATTGATCCTCGCCGTTGTTTATCAGGTCTGATACAGCGATTTTGTATTCCGTCGCGTGCGGAATGGTCTCGTAATCGTTGTAGGTCGGCGGTTCCGGCCATTTGTACAGCGTGACCAGGCTCGTACGACTCGGGCTGATGTCCCAATCAAAGTACTCCATGTCTGCCACCGACTTCTCAGCCTCCCACAACTCTACCCTCTGCAAACAAGACCTCGCGTTACTCGTTAAGCTCATCAATAATCGATACGGTCGGGCCGTCACTCACCCACGACTCGTGGTACACCGCTGTGAGAAGGTACCGTGCATACTCCAAGTTTTGCTTCTTAGTCGGGCATCTGTCAGCCGTGATCGTTATCACATCGGTCGCCGGATTGTACTTGTTTCCCAGCAATCGCAGCAGCTTGTCCTTGGCGTGGGTGTCCAAGTGAAGAGAGGACAGCCACACTCGCAAGCTCACAATCCTGGTAAGTGGGTCGCGTATGGTAGGCGAGGAATAGCAGTAATCGGACGCGACGATCTCGACGGGAAAGTGCCTCGCGCACTTCTCCTCGGTCTCCAAGCAGATGGGCCACTCGGTGCAGAACTGCTTGAGCGCCTCGCAGTGCCGCCGTATCGCCGGCGGCGTCAGATGCAGGAAATTCGGGATCTTGAGGAGCTCGGTGTTGTGGCACTTGCTGGGCGGCGCGCCCTTTTCCACCCAGTCCTGGCACAACGATAGCGGCACGGAAGGTGGAAGGTTCGCGCGCCCGGGCGCCCGGCCAGACTGACGGCTAGTCCTGGTCGACGGGCATCTGCGCCGTCCTGGACGGTGGGATGTTCACCTTGGCCACTTTCCGCTTCTCCGTCACGACTTTTTATACTTGGAATAAAACTCCAGCATTCGAAACTCTGAAAGCACCAAGACACGCGTGAGAACCACGGCTCGTCCTTCACCTCCTGGGGCGCCAATAACCGATACCGACGTTCCGGTCCGCTCGGCTCCGAGGAATACGCCGCGAGCGGCCTCGACGCTCTCGGCAGGTTTTGCGCGAGGCTCGCCCCGCTCGCCTCGAATCCACGTTTCAACAGCAACATCTTCGTACTCCTGGGAAACCACAGTATAACCAGTAGTTGCACTCCGACACTCTCTGTCGGCGCCTTTGATCTGGGCGTTCTCAATTTTCCGCCATGTTTTTGATAGCCCCAACAGTGTATCAACGGCTAAAAGTGCCTGGACCCTTTTCAGGATCGTATCCAGGAAAGGCGCGTACGAACTAGCGTAATACATTATTTATTGTAAATGGAAATGGCCTATGAAAAAAATGTTCTAATAAAAGTAATTAATGTAATTACTTGCTCCAACGTATAAAAGTATTAACGCGTTATTCGTCAAAACTGCAAATTTTTCAATGTCACACCGACTTTGCACTAACACACGTACAAAAATCCTGTGATTGGTCATAGCTAAAACATGTCGGATGCGCAGTACGGATCGGCGCGAACGTGAAACAAAAGAGCGAGTGCCCATACTGGTTATACCC